TGATGAACTTCACTCCGTTTCACTCCGTTTCGTTCAACTGTTTATAGATTACAGTAGGTTTATAGGTTACAGGTGTGTTGAACTCCACTCCGTTTCACTCCGTTTTGTTCAACTGTTTATAGATTACAGTTGGTTTATAGGTTACAGGTGTGTTGAACTCCACTCCGTTTCACTCCGTTTCGTTCAACTGTTTATAGATTACAGTAGGTTTATAGGTTACAGGTGTGTTGAACTCCACTCCGTTTCACTCCGTTTCGTTCAACTGTTTATAGATTACAGTAGGTTTATAGGTTACAGGAACTTAAAACCAAAATCCAGTAAAGTTTTAATCATGTCTGAAACTTAAAATCAAGATCCAGTAAAGTTCTAATCATGTCTGAAACTTAAAACCAAGATCCAGTAAAGTTTTAAGCATGTCTGAAACTTAAAACCAAGATCCAATAAAGTTTAAAGCATGTCTGAAACTTAAAACCAAGATCCAGTAAAGTTTAAAGCATGTCTGAAACTTAAAACCAAGATCCAGTAAAGTTTTAAGAATGTCTGAAACTTAAAACCAAGATCCAGTAAAGTTTTAATCATGTCTGAAACTTAAAACCAAGATCCAGTAAAGTTTTAAGAATGTCTGAAACTTAAAACCAAGATTCAGTAAAGTTTTAAGCATGTCTGAAACTTAAAACCAAGATCCAGTAAAGTTTTAAGCATGTCTGAAACTTAAAATCAAGATCCAGTAAAGTTTTAACCATGTCTGAAACTTAAAATCTAGATCCAGTAAAGTTATAAGCATGTCTGAAACTTAAAATCAAGATCCAGTAAAGTTTTAAGCATGTCTGAAACTTAAAATCAAGATCCAGTAAAGTTTTAAGCATGTCTGAAACTTAAAATCAAGATCCAGTAAAGTTTTAAGCATGTTCGAAACTTAAAACCAAGATCCAGTAAAGTTTTAATCATGTTTGAAACTTAAAACCAAGATCCAGTAAAGTTTAAAGCATGTCTGAAACTTAAAATCAAGATCCAGTAAAGTTTTAATCATGTCTGAAACTTAAAACCAAGATCCAGTAAAGTTTTAAGCATGTCTGAAACTTAAAACCAAGATCCAGTAAAGTTTAAAGCATGTCTGAAACTTAAAACCAAGATCCAGTAAAGTTTAAAGCATGTCTGAAACTTAAAACCAAGATCCAGTAAAGTTTTAATCATGTCTGAAACTTAAAACCAAGATCCAGTAAAGTTTTAAGCATGTTTGAAACTTAAAACCAAGATCCAGTAAAGTTTTAATCATGTCTGAAACTTAAAATCAAGATCCAGTAAAGTTCTAATCATGTCTGAAACTTAAAACCAAGATCCAGTAAAGTTTTAAGCATGTCTGAAACTTAAAACCAAGATCCAATAAAGTTTAAAGCAAGTCTGAAACTTAAAACCAAGATCCAGTAAAGTTTAAAGCATGTCTGAAACTTAAAACCAAGATCCAGTAAAGTTTTAATCATGTCTGAAACTTAAAACCAAGATCCAGTAAAGTTTTAAGCATGTTTGAAACTTAAAACCAAGATCCAGTCAAGTTTTAAGCATGTCTGAAACTTAAAACTAAGATCCAGTAAAGTTTAAAGCATGTCTGAAACTTAAAACCAAGATCCAGTAAAGTTTAAAGCATGTCTGAAACTTAAAACCAAGATCCAGTAAAGTTTTAATCATGTCTGAAACTTAAAACCAAGATCCAGTAAAGTTTTAAGCATGTTTGAAACTTAAAACCAAGATCCAGTAAAGTTTTAATCATGTCTGAAACTTAAAATCAAGATCCAGTAAAGTTTTAAGCATGTCCGAAACTTAAAACCAAGATCCAGTAAAGTTTTAAGCATGTCTATAACTAAAAACCAAGATCCAGTAAAGTTTTAAGCATGTCTATAACTTAAAACCAAGATCCAGTAAAGTTTTAAGCATGTCTGAATCTTAAAACCAAGATCCAGTAAAGTTTTAAGCATGTCTGAAACTTAAAACCAAGATCCAGTAAAGTTTTAATCATGTGTGAAACTTAAAACCAAGATCCAGTAAAGTTTTAAGCATGTCTGAAACTTAAAACCAAGATCCAGTAAAGTTTAAATCATGTCTGAAACTTAAAACCAAGATCCAGTCAAGTTTTAAGCATGTCTGAAACTTAAAATCAAGATCCAGTAAAGTTTTAATCATGTCTGAAACTTAAAATCAAGATCCAGTAAAGTTTTAATCATGTCTGAAACTTAAAACCAAGATCCAGTAAAGTTTTAAGCATGTCTATAACTAAAAACCAAGATCCAGTAAAGTTTTAAGCATGTCTATAACTTAAAACCAAGATCCAGTAAAGTTTTAAGCATGTCTATAACTAAAAACCAAGATCCAGTAAAGTTTTAAGCATGTCTATAACTTAAAACCAAGATCCAGTAAAGTTTTAAGCATGTCTGAATCTTAAAACCAAGATCCAGTAAAGTTTTAAGCATGTCTGAAACTTAAAACCAAGATCCAGTAAAGTTTTAATCATGTGTGAAACTTAAAACCAAGATCCAGTAAAGTTTTAAGCATGTCTGAAACTTAAAACCAAGATCCAGTAAAGTTTAAATCATGTCTGAAACTTAAAACCAAGATCCAGTCAAGTTTTAAGCATGTCTGAAACTTAAAATCAAGATCCAGTAAAGTTTTAATCATGTCTGAAACTTAAAATCAAGATCCAGTAAAGTTTTAATCATGTCTGAAACTTAAAACCAAGATCCAGTCAAGTTTTAAGCATGTCTGAAACTTAAAACCAAGATCCAGTAAAGTTTAAAGCATGTCTGAAACTTAAAACCAAGATCCAGTAAAGTTTAAAGCATGTCTGAAACTTAAAACCAAGATCCAGTAAAGTTTAAAGCATGTCTGAAACTTAAAACCAAGATCCAGTAAAGTTTTAATCATGTCTGAAACTTAAAACCAAGATCCAGTAAAGTTTTAAGCATGTTTGAAACTTAAAACCAAGATCCAGTAAAGTTTTAATCATGTCTGAAACTTAAAATCAAGATCCAGTAAAGTTTTAAGCATGTCCGAAACTTAAAACCAAGATCCAGTAAAGTTTTAAGCATGTCTATAACTAAAAACCAAGATCCAGTAAAGTTTTAAGCATGTCTATAACTTAAAACCAAGATCCAGTAAAGTTTTAAGCATGTCTGAATCTTAAAACCAAGATCCAGTAAAGTTTTAAGCATGTCTGAAACTTAAAACCAAGATCCAGTAAAGTTTTAATCATGTGTGAAACTTAAAACCAAGATCCAATAAAGTTTTAAGCATGTCTTAACTTAAAACCAAGATCCAGTAAAGTTTTAAGCATGTCTGAAACTTAAAACCAAGATCCAGTAAAGTTTTAAGCATGTCTGAAACTTAAAATCAAGATCCAGTAAAGTTTTAAGCATGTCTGAAACTTAAAATCAAGATCCAGTAAAGTTTGAGAAAAAGTACAAGTGGGCTTTGACAATTTCAATTTGAATTTTTTTTATAATTAAGAAATAAGAAAAAGATATAAGTAGGCTTTGACAATTACAATTTCAATCAATTTTATAATTAAGATAAGAAAAAGTTCGTAGTGAACTTTGAAAATTTGTTGAAAGTGAAAAATCATTGTGGAAAATTAATTCAATCATTTAACAAGTATTTAACACACTTTCACAGACATTGTGAAAGTAAAATTGAAATTGTGCTGTCGTTGGAAATAAGATCCATTAAGTATAAGCCTGTTTGAAACAAAAACAAAATAATCGAGTAGGAAAAAAATTAAGAATTAAACAAAAAAAAAAATATTTTCATTGATACAAATAAAGTTTGTATTTAATAACATAGATACAGTATGCTGAATCTTGTAAAGGAACTTGCTAGTTCCAACATTTTTTCACATACATTTAACTTAATGCATACTGTCACAACCATTTTATTAATATCACACTAATACCAACAAATATTTCCGTTGTAAACAAAAAATAAATATGTTATGTAATAATCGGTTAAACTTTTCCCATACAAATATGTTTATGCATCTTGTGCCTCACTGGAAGCATCTTATGACTCCAAAAACAATACAGTTCTTGCGGTAGCCTTTATCTATCAGAAGCAAAAAACCGGAAGTCTTAATATTAAGTTTGAAGCGAGTTATCGCACCGATTAACTAACTAACTAACAGAATGCCCTTTTTTGCGAGTTTTTGGAACTGGAACTGCCAAATGAAAAATTGTTTTCACCATTAGATAGGTATTTCGAGGCACAAACTTTTACATATCAGGTATTTGGGTTGATTTCGTAAGCCTGAAGCAGAAAGTTAAAAAAACTGATTTTCCGAAAAACCAAAAACAATATATTCACAAAAATTGAAAATTTTGTGTGAATATGAAATTCAAAAAGCGAAATGATTTTTAAACTCATCCTTTTATCTTGTTGTATTTCACTTGTATTCGGTGGATTGTTACCGACATATCTTCCTCCAGAATGGAAACCAGAACAAACTTGGAAGCCAGCAAATTATGAATTTTCATATGAAGTCAATGAGCCCAAAACTGGAGATATTAAACAACAATTTGAAAAGGCTGTAGATGGGGTGATCAAGGGACAATACTGGTTGATTGAACCTGATGGTTCGAAGAGAATTGTTGATTACACTGCTGATGACAAGAATGGATTCCAAGCTACAGTTAAAGTGATTCCTGCACAAACTGGATGGAAACCAGAAGCTGCAGTATGGAAATCAGATTCAAAGCCGTGGGCTAATAAACCAATTTATTATTAAACAATTAACAATTAAAGCAAATATTCACTGTAAAATGTGAAATGAAGACAAGTAGCTTTAATGATGTTGAAAATAACAACTGAGAATTTAAAAAAAAAATTAAAATTCGTTAAAATTATAGAAATAAAATTTATGAAATTCATAACACTTTTAAAAGTTAAAGCTTTAAATTTAGTATTTTGGTCTCTCGAATGATATAACTTGAATTAAATTATTATTAATATAACCTCCAAAAAATTTGAATTTGAATTGTTTTATTGAATTTCATAAGCAAACTTCCTCAAGTATCTTAATTCATAAATTATCGAATGACTGTTTCATTAACAGAGCTTTTTCTTATATTAAGGTTTTTATTTTCAACCCTATTATGATTTAATGGAACCTCACACTCATCTTCGTCTGTTTTTGATCCAAGTGCTATAGATTCTTCAACAATGTTTGGCAATTTACGATTAAGAGTTTCTGGCAAATAAACATAAATAATTCCTCCAAATATGGCCAATACTCCAAATATAATGTATGGAAGAGGTTTATAATATTTTTCAACAAATATTGCAAATGGACTAAACAAAGCACCAATGCGACTCATAGTTGCAAAAAATCCTATGCAGCTAGATCTTATGATAGTTGGCATCATTTCTGTAGCATGAACGTAAATGATTGAGAATGAACAAGTAATTCCTAATTTTCCTATCAAAAATAAAGCTATTTGTATCCATACTACATCAGCATAACCGCATAATATACATGTGATGCCACATAAAATCATTGAAATTGTAAATCCAGCCACGCGACCAAATTTTTCAATAATTATATAACCAAAATAGTAACCCGGAATTTCAACTATACTAACAAGAATGAAGTTAAAGTATTTATTACCACTAAGGGTAACTGAATTTAATGAAAGTCCAAAATACACGAGCGCATTGATTGCAAAATTGTACAACAAAATAATTATTCGAATTAACATTGTCTTTGATGTTATCATTTTAATTAATGCTTCGAAAATTTCTTTTCTTTGATTTCTTTCACTATTAAATTGACAAGCATCCTGATCAATAAACATTTTTACACTCGCATCAGACAATTCAACACCATTACATTTAGCAGCTTTTCTAATTATATGCAGTGCTTCCGAATTACGTTTCTTTGACAAAAGCCATCTGACACTTTCTGGAACTATCCATATGTATATGAATAATATCATAGGAGGAATTGAAATAAGTAGCTGCAACATAACCCAATGGTCATAAAACCATGCAATAACTCCTAAAACAGCAACACCAATTGCATAAAAATAATTACACACAATACCAGCTACACCTCTCTTATTTTTTCCAACGATTTCTAAGCCTAAAACAAATGCCAATGGAAAGATTCCCGATATTCCGATAGCATTTAAAAATGCAGATACTACAAACATTTCATAGCTTGTTGACAATGCCTGTATAATACCAGTAATAGACATGAAGAATGTTGAAATTATAAGAGTAATCTTACGTCCAATACTAAAAAGAATTGACTTTAATAATTAATTTTAGAATTAACAGTTTACTTATTACCTGTCTCCTAAAACCATCCATAAACTTCCAACAATTACACCTAGAAAATGTGCAGTGCCTACAAATGCTAGTTTCCATTCATTTTCTTCACACGTGATTTTAAATTCCTCGAGAATAGTAAACGAGCCAGAATGATCAAATACAAATTCATCACATCTGATTGTTTCATTTAAAAATGACTGTATAGAACATATTTCTCCATATTTGTTGCTCTGCATTTGAGATGCATTATCATTATATCGATAACGATTACAATGATCAATTTTAAAAAATCCATCTAATTGAATCTCTCCAGGTATTGCGTGCGTTATCCATTTTGCGTTGAACACAGCAGTTTCTGTAGATTCACATTCTGGGATAAGACATCTGAAATAATCACATGAGAAGTTTTTCTGTTTCTACTTAGATATTTTCAGTTATTTTAAAACTAAAATGCAAAGTTTTTTATATAAATGCATGCATTTAGTTCAGGTCCAAACAATTTTGAAATTAGTATCCACAGATAATTTTTTTTAAATAAAAAGACTTATTTAAAATATTTCTAAATCAAGTTTGTAGTTGGTTTCGAAGATTCCTATTGATTCCTATTTGCAAGTCTAATTTGATCTTTTTATCCAAATAATATTTGTGTCTAATGATTAAATCAAACAAACCTATAATGTTGATGACCGGCTGTAAACACATATGATAAACTATTTGCTGCTCCAAAAAATACCGGGATACATAATAAATAATATTTAATCTGCTGATATTTTCCAAATTCACCAATTTCTTCTAAGACACTTTCAAGATCCATCGTATCATCTGAGCTCTCAAATTATACTGATAATAAAAAATACTTATTCTTTTTATACTCACTTAGCCAGTTATTATATTAATATAAAATTGCTCTAAATATTTCTGAGATAAATTTATGAGATTGATAGTTTATCTTTATCAATGTGAAGGTCTTTTCCTCAGTAATGCACTTTACAATAAAAAAATAGAAGTACGATAAAAGGGTCGTTAAATTATTTCATTCGCTTTTTTGAGGTGAGGAAGGGAGGCGAAATTGGTAATAAGGAGGGGTTTTAGGGTCTTAAAAGAAGTTTTCTTTTGCGTATAAAATAAAATTAATGAGCCTAGTTTATGCTGTTAATTTAAAATAAAAAACAAATTTCGATTGAATAATTGTTTAGCTTTTTTATCGTTCAAGAACTTTTTTATTACATTTAGTATTTTAAAGCACGTACATACATCACTTTTTATTCTTTTTAATAAGCTGTGAGTCGCATCATCTCAGTATTTTGTCATAATTATATCACATGTCACATGATAGAAATGTACAATAAAATATAAAATTAATTTGAATAAATGTTTGCAATAATTATAAAAAAATAGATTTGCACGATTAAAAGACATTATTTTTGTAGACTATTTAAATTCTGCTACACTTGTTTGGGTTTGAGTTTCAATTTGTTTTTTCCGACTATTTACAATATGTGAATCAAAGTGAAAATCAGAGGAAAGCTCTAACAATTTTTAAACTTCAGAAGTTAAAAATAAAAAAACAAATTCATTTGTTTAATATATTATTATATTTTTAATGTATTTTTCAATTTTTCTATTACATTACACTGTAGTTTCAAATTTACAAATTTTATACATTTCCTCATTATTTTTACTTCGTATGCCTATATTCCTATGAGATTGATTAAGCGTTTGATAATTTACATTGTGCTAAAGAACTATTTAAGCCCATGGTTTTGATTGCCATCCATGACTTGGTGCTTGAACTTTCACAACAGTTGGTGCTTGCCATCCATGAGCTGTAGCTGCTTGCCATCCGTGACTTGGAGCTGGTGAGATGATTTTTGTGACTGTTGGTGCCTGCCATTGTGGTTTTGCTTCCCATCCATGACTTGGTGCTTGTACTTTCACGACAGCTGGTGCTTGCCATTGTGGTTTAGCTTCCCAACCGTGACTTGGTGCTGCGGCGATTATCTTAGTGACTGTTGGTGCTTGCCATCCGTGAGCAGGTTTTGCTTGCCATCCATGTGCTGGAGCAACGAGTTTGTGGTCAACTGGTTCACGTTGTACATTAGCTTGGAAACCATGATGATCATCAGCTGTGTATGAGACAACACGTCTGAAACCATCTGGATCAACTAATGAGTATTGCCCTGAGATTGCACCATTTGCTGCCTTTTCATGTTGACGCTTGATATCTCCAGTTTGTGTGTCATGAACTTCATAGTTAAATTCATAGTCAGCTTTAACCACAGACAATGCAACGCACAAAATTACAAATTTAAGAGCCATTGTTTTTGATCTTATTTTCTCCCTCTTATTGATTATTTTCGTTTTAATTCAAGTTATCGAATGATACTGATACTATACTAAATGATTCTTTATATAGCAAAGAAATTCAGTATGAACCATAAGCAAGGTCAGTTTTTTCAATAAATGCAAAATTTATGTTTAATTAATTATTCTCAGTGGTTTTATATGAAAACCCAGTTATGATCACTTTTGTTGAAACAAAAGGTAACATTCTTTTTTCATTTAATTGCACTTTTATTGCATTTATTGACGACAGACTGTCCGGTAATAATTCACATTTCGCACTTTTTGTATTTATATACATTTGAATTAGTATTATTTAAGATCAAACTTCTAATCTTTAAATCAAGGTTTCAAATAAACTAAGGCTCTCGTTTCGATCTTCTAGAGGTGTGACGTAATACTTTTCAGGTCCGTTCTAACAATATTCCATTCGTGGGTAATCTTGTAGCTCTCGTTCCTATTTCTCCCGCTACACTTCAAGTTCCTGACCCGTTTCTTAATCCAACGTTGCCCAAATGCCCAATTATGGCTTGATCTCGTACATTAAGCAGTCGAAGTATCTAAACTTCCGAAAGAGAACAAATTTGGAAATGGCTGGATTCAAACCGACGACCTTCGAATTACTATCCCAAATTTGAGCCAAGCGATCAGATGAAAGTCCACAAAATCCTTTATTTTTAATTAAAATTTTGATTTTAATGACTTAGGTACATCAGTTTTTTAGACTAAATTTGATTTAATTCTATATTAAAATATTTTCTGGATACAAGAAATTAGGAAAAAAAATTTTACTTGTACAAAAACATTTTTACATTTTAACTTTTGATTTTTTTAGTATTCATCAATTCTAGTGGTACACGAATGATTAAATTTCAAAGTAGAGTATAGCAAGTGTATCGGGTAGAAACCCAATGCGGATATATTCACACCGTACCATCAAAAGTCTTGTGGATAGACCAAGATTTGCTCAGCATAAGTTTGAAGGGGAACGTGAAGTACGGCCGAGACCCATATCGACACAGTTCAAAAGTTAAACCTAATTTAGGTCATAATTATGTCAGCTACAAAAGCACTTAGTTTGAATTTTGTCACCCTCGGGAACACTATGAACCAGTATAGCTGATTTTGGTCCAAATCTCGGCAATACTTTACACTTATTTGAACCACATTTTCTCTTAAATGTTAAAATATTATTAAAAAGTAATTAATCCTGAACTGAGTCGCTATTTTGTCAAGTGTTTCAAGTTAAAAGATTTGTTTTTTGGTTTCCACAGTGAAGAGTATGGACAAAATTCAGATGGGGTAGTCGAAATTTTAGATTTCGATTTTTTTTAAGCTATGCATTACAAAAAGTAATATTGGTATGTGATTAATGTCAGAATTATGTCAATTCAAAAAATTTTTTGACCAAAGTACACCATAGAAAATCAATTTTTAATTTTGGACTAGGGGCGACCCTAGTCAAAATCAATTTTGTCTCTCTTTTCTTCCAGGGTTTATAAAAATGAATTGAAACTTTGCATAAATATTCTAGTGCTTAAAATAAATACAAACAAAACATTTTAAAATTTTTTTGAACAAACAACCAAGTAGGAAATACAATTTCAATTTTGGACTAGGGACGACCCTAGTCAAAATCAATTTTATCACTTTTTTCTTCGATGTTTTATCCAAATGGATTGAAACTTTGCATAAATATTCAAGTGCTTAAAAACGAATACAAATAAAACATTCTAAAATTTTTATGAGCAAAGCTCCAAGTAGGAAATACATTTTCAATTTTGGACTAGGGACGACCCTAGTCAAAATCAATTTTGTCACTTTTTTCTTCGAGGGTTTATCCAAATGGATTGAAACCTTGCATAAATATTCTAGTTCTCAAAACAAATACGAATAAAATATCCTAAAATTGGGCAAAGAACCTAGTAGGAAATATATTTTCAATTATGAACTTGGGACAGGTCTAGTCAAAATCTAGTTTTTTACTTTTTTTCTTCGAAGATTTATTCAATTACAGTGAAACTTTGTGCGAGTATACTAATATTTATACAAAACAGTTTTAAATATCTAAAGCAAGAAATGTATTCTATATGTCGTCAGACCCAAATTTTTGTAAATTTGGTTGTACATTCAAAAACAACGTGACTTAAAATTTTTCAAAAAAAATGATTTTTATTAATTCAGAAATGTGTGACCTGAGGATTAGAATGCTCATACAAAGTTTTACTGTATTTGGATTTATCCTCGAAGAAAAAAGTGAAAAACTATTTTGACTGGACCTGTCCCAAGTTCATAATTGAAAATGTATTTCCTACTTGGTTCTTTGCTCAAAAAAATTTTAGGATGTTTTACTTGTATTTGTTTTAAGCATTTGAATATTTATGCAAAGTTTTAATCCATTTGGATAAACCCTCGAAGAAAAAAGTGAGAAAATTGATTCTGACTAGGATCGCCCATAGTCCAAAATTGAAATTGTATTTCCTTCTTGGTTCTTTGCTCATAAAAATTTTAAAATGTTTTATTTGTATTTGCTTAAAGCATTTAAATATTTATGCAAAGTTTCAATCCATTTGGATGATACATCGAAAAAAAAGTTACAAAATTGATTTTGACTAGGGTCGCCCCTAGTCCAAAACTGAAATTGTATTTCCTACTTGGTTCTTTGCTCAAAAAAATTTTAAATGATTTATTTGTATTTGTTTTAATCACTTGAATATTTATGCAAAGTTTCAATCCATTTGGATAAACCCTCGAGGAAAAAAGTGACAAAATTGATTTTGACTAGGGTAGTCCCTAGTCCAAAATTGAAAATGTGTTTCCTACTTGGTTCTTTGCTCATAAAAATTTTAGAATGTTTTATTTGTATTTAGTTTTAGCATTAAAATATTCATGAAAAGTTTTATTCCATTTGAATAAACCCTCGAAGAAATAAGTGACAAAATTGATTTTGACTAGGGTCGCCCCTAGTCCAAAATTGAAATTGTATTTCCTACTTGGTTCTTTGCTCAAAAAAATTTTAGAATGATTTATTTGTATTTGTTTTAATCACTTGAATATTTATGCAAAGTTTCAATTCATTTGGATAAAACATCGAAGAGAAAAGTGAGAAAATTGATTTTGACTAGGGTCGCCCCTAGTCCAAAACTGAAATTGTATTTCCTACTTGGTTCTTTGCTCAAAAAAATATTAGAATGATTTATTTGTATTTGTTTTAATCACTTGAATATTTAGGCAAAGTTTCAATTCATTTGGATAAAACATCGAAGAGAAAAGTGAGAAAATTGATTTTGACTAGGGTCGCCCCTAGTCCAAAACTGAAATTGTATTTCCTACTTGGTTCTTTGCTCAAAAAAATATTAGAATGATTTATTTGTATTTGTTTTAATCACTTGAATATTTATGCAAAGTTTCAATCCATTTGGATAAACCCTCGAGGAAAAAAGTGACAAAATTGATTTTGACTAGGGTAGCCCCTAGTCCAAAATTGAAAATGTGTTTCCTACTTGGTTCTTTGCTCATAAAAATTTTAGAATGTTTTATTTGTATTTAGTTTTAGCATTAAAATATTCATGAAAAGTTTTATTCCATTTGAATAAACCCTCGAAGAAATAAGTGACAAAATTGATTTTGACTAGGGTCGCCCCTAGTCCAAAATTGAAATTGTATTTCTTACTTGGTTCTTTGCTCAAAAAAATTTTAGAATGATTTATTTGTATTTGTTTTAATCACTTGAATATTTATGCAAAGTTTCAATTCATTTGGATAAAACATCGAAGAGAAAAGTGAGAAAATTGATTTTGACTAGGGTCGCCCCTAGTCCAAAACTGAAATTGTATTTCCTACTTGGTTCTTTGCTCAAAAAAATATTAAATGATTTATTTGTAGTTGTTTTAATCACTTGAATATTTATGCAAAGTTTTAATCCATTTGGATAAACCCTCGAAGAAAAAAGTGACAAAATTGATTTTGACTAGGGTCGCCCCTAGTCCAAAATTGAAAATGTGTTTCCTACTTGGTTCTTTGCTCATAAAAGTTTTAGAATGTTTTATTTGTATTTGGTTTAAGCACTAAAATATTCATGCAAAGTTTTAATCCATTTGAATAAACCCTCGAAGAAAAAAGTGACAAAATTGATTTTGACTAGGGTCGCCCCTAGTCCAAAATTGAAATTGTATTTCCTACTTGGTTCTTTGCTCATAAAAGTTTTAGAATGTTTTATTTGTATTTGGTTTAAGCACTAAAATATTCATGCAAAGTTTTAGTCCATTTGAATAAACCCTCGAAGAAAAAAGTGACAAAATTGATTTTGACTAGGGTCGCCCCTAGTCCGAAATTGAAATTGTATTTCCTACTTGGTTCTTTGCTCATAAAAATTTTAGAATGATTTATTTGTATTTGTTTTAAGCACTAGAATATTTATGCAAAGTTTCAATTCATTTGGATAAAACATCAAAGAGAAAAGTGAGAAAATTGATTTTGACTAGGGTCGCCCCTAGTCCAAAATTGAAATTGTATTTCCTACTTGGGGGCCATTCACTTATTACGTAACGCTTTTAGGGGGAGGGGGGGGTCTAAGATTTTGTTACGGTTCAAACAAGGAAATTTTTTTTTAATACAAATTTTGTTACGAGGGGGGGGGGGGGGGGGTCTAAGAAGTCATTTTTTCGCGTTACGTAATAAGTGAACAGCCCCTTGGTTGTTTGTTCAAAAAATT